GAAATTGTGACCCCGGGGCTTAGGGATTTTTTCAAAAAAATCTATTTCTGCCGGTTAAGTTGTTGAGGGCTGATTTCTTGTCCTGTGATAAAAAGCCTTCTGTTTCGACCGCCAAACCTTTCAGGGGAGCATTTGCAACCTTTTGGCACCATTTTTGAGTGAACTGCCAAAAGTCAGACTTTTGCTGAAATTGTGACCCCGGGGCTTAGGGATTCTTCAAAAAATCTTTTTCTGCCGGTTAAGTTGTTGAGGGCTGATTTCTTGTCCTGTGATAAAAAGCCTTCTGTTTCGACCGCCAAACCTTTCAGGGAGCATTTGCAACCTTTTGGCACCATTTTTGAGTGAACTGCCAAAAGTCAGACTTTTCCTGAAATTGTGACCCCGGGGCTTAGGGATTTTTCAAAAAAATCTTTTTCTGCCTGTTAAGTTGTTGAGGGCTGATTTCTTGTCCTGTGATAAAAAGCCTTCTGTTTCGACCGCCAAACCTTTCGGGGCAGCATTTGCAACCTTTTGGCACCATTTTTGAGTGAACTGCCAAAAGTCAGACTTTTGCTGAAATTGTGACCCCGGGGCTTAGGGATTTTTTCAAAAAAATCTTTTCTGCCGGTTAAGTTGTTGAGGGCTGATTTCTTGTCCTGTGATAAAAAGCCTTCTGTTTCGACCGCCAAACCTTTCAGGGAGCATTTGCAACCTTTTGGCACCATTTTTGAGTGAACTGCCAAAAGTCAGACTTTTGCTGAAATTGTGACCCCGGGGCTTAGGGATTTTTCAAAAAAATCTTTTCTGCCGGTTAAGTTGTTGAGGGCTGATTTCTTGTCCTGTGATAAAAAGCCTTCTGTTTCGACCGCCAAACCTTTCAGGGAGCATTTGCAACCTTTTGGCACCATTTTTGAGTGAACTGCCAAAAGTCAGACTTTTGCTGAAATTGTGACCCCGGGGCTTAGGGATTTTTTCAAAAAAAAATTTTTTGCTGGTTAAGTTGTTGAGGGCTGAATTCTTGTCCTGTGATAAAACGCCTTCTGTTTCGACCGCCAAACCTTTCAGGGGAGCATTTGCAACCTTTTGGCACCATTTTTGAGTGAACTGCCAAAAGTCAGACTTTTGCTGAAATTGTGACCCCGGGGCTTAGGGATTTTTCAAAAAATCTTTTCTGCCGGTTAAGTTGTTGAGGGCTGATTTCTTGTCCTGTGATAAAAAGCCTTCTGTTTCGACCGCCAAACCTTTCAGGGAGCATTTGCAACCTTTTGGCACCATTTTTGAGTGAACTGCCAAAAGTCAGACTTTTGCTGAAATTGTGACCCCGGGGCTTAGGGATTTTTCAAGAAATCTTTTTCTGCCGGTTAAGTTGTTGAGGGCTGATTTCTTGTCCTGTGATAAAAAGCCTTCTGTTTCGACCGCCAAACCTTTCAGGGAGCATTTGCAACCTTTTGGCACCATTTTTGAGTGTACTGCCCAAAGTCAGACTTTTGCTGAAATTGTGACCCCGGGGCTTAGGGATTTTTCAAAAAATCTATTTCTGCCGGTTAAGTTGTTGAGGGCTGATTTCTTGTCCTGTGATAAAAAGCCTTCTGTTTCGACCGCCAAACCTTTCAGGGGAGCATTTGCAACCTTTTGGCACCATTTTTGAGTGATCTGCCAAAAGTCAGATTTTTTCTGAAATTGTGACCCCGGGGCTTACTGATTTATTCAAAAAAATCTGTTTCTGCCGGTTAAGTTTTTGAGGGCTGATTTCTTGTCCTGTCATAAAAAGACTTCTGTTTCGACCGCCAAACCTTTCAGGGGAGCATTTGCAACCTTTTGGCACCATTTTTGAGTGATCTGCCCAAAGTCAGATTTTTGCTGAAATTGTGACCCCGGGGCTTAGGGATTTTTCAAAAAAACTTTGTCTGCCGGTTAAGTTGTTGAGGGCTGATTTCTTGTCCTGTGATAAAAAGCCTTCTGTTTCGACCGCCAAAACTTTCAGGGGAGCATTTGCAACCTTTTGGCACCATTTTTGAGTGAACTGCCAAAAGTCAGACTTTTCCTGAAATTGTGACCCCGGGGCTTAGGGATTTTTTCTAAAAAAAATTTTTTGCTGGTTAAGTTGTTGAGGGCTGAATTCTTGTCCTGTGATAAAACGCCTTCTGTTTCGACCGCCAAACCTTTCAGGGGAGCATTTGCAACCTTTTGGCACCATTTTTGAGTGAACTGCCAAAAGTCAGACTTTTCCTGAAATTGTGACACCGGGGCTTAGGATTTTTTTCAAAGAAATCTTTTTCTGCCGGTTAAGTTTTTGAGGGCTGATTTCTTGTCCTGTGATAAAAAGCCTTCTGTTTCGACCGCCAAACCTTTCAGAGGAGCATTTGCAACCGTTTGGCACCATTTTTGAGTGAATTGCCAGAAGTCAAATTTTCCTGAAATTGTGACCCCGGGGCTTAGGTATTTATTCAAAAAAATCTTTTTCTGCCGGTTATGTTGTGGAGGGCTGATTTCTTGTCCTGTGATAATAAGCCTTCTGTTTCGACCGCCAAACCTTTCAGGGGAGCATTTGCAACCTTTTGGCACCATTTTTGAGTGATCTGCCCAAAGTCAGATTTTTTCTGAAATGGTGACCCCAGGGCTTAGGCATTTTTTCAAAAAAATCTATTTCTGCCGGTTAAGTTGTGGGGGGCTGATTTCTTGTCCTGTGATAATAAGCCTTGTGTTTCGACCGCCAAACCTTTCAGGGGACCATTTGCAACCTTTTGGCATCATTTTTGAGTGATCTGCCAAAAGTCTGAAGAAGAAGTGTGTATTTAATTTTAATTTATTTGCATTAGCATACAGCTATAGCAAAATAAGACAATACAAAAAATGTTGGGGACAAGCAACCAAGCAAAATTCAAAGCGATATTGCTGGCGTAATGACATTTAAAACACCCTAAGACAATAATACAGAGATTTGGTTGCCAGCGCCAAAAAACTAGTATGCGGATATAAATAAAGCATAAAATGGCCCCAAAATAGGCTCGGCACATTGAGTTAAAAAGGTAATAAAAGAATTAAACAGGTCCAGGACTAGGGCACACTACCCTGTCAGAGTAGCCCTGAGTTTCAGAGCCTGCACTATGAAGATTGCCACCCCACGTGAAATTTGGGGATTTGCGTCCACCAGAAGTGCTTTCAGACAGTCTTCCTTAGATGAAATGGAGGACGGGATCAAGAGGAGGAGCTTAGGTCTTATTGGGTCATAAATAGGGCAGTAGAAAAAAGAAATGTATGAAGTCCTCTACTTCATTCATTGTGCATGGACATAGACGCTGAGTAATAGGGGTCTTAGAGTAGGTCCCCTGCAGGAAGGCCGTGGGTATAGAATGAAAACGGGCCATTGTAAACGCTCTTCTCAAATTGGGCTCCGTCAGGTCTATCAAGTAGTTGGCAAGTGATCTTACCACTTTCACTTTAGGGAGCCACATGGAGAGGCGAGCTGAGGTGGACTGTGCCCGGTCCATGGCCTCATCTCTTATAAGAATCCAGGCCCGGATTTTATGTTGGTCCCAAGATGACAACGTGTCGAATTCTGGGAGGGAGTAGCGTACAGTAATGGTCTCCATGGCCTTGGACCATTTGTTGGAGTGAGAACAAGTTAAAAAGGCTTGCCTGGCTAGTAGGGAACCTGGGGCATTGATTAGTTTGCAATAAAAACTAATAATTCTAATGTGGGCTCTCGCAACAATGGAGGGGAGGCCCAGTTCTGTTCTTAACTGAGCAGCAACCGAGCCCTTGGGGAGACCCAGTATCTTTCGTGCAAAAGAGTTTTGTAGAATCTCCAGCCGTTGTAGTGATTTTAAATTCCACCCCCAGATTTCAACCCCATACAGTAACATCGGGAGGACTTTGCTAATAAATGCTTTTCTGATTGGTGGAACCAACTGGCCGCCTTTTGCATAGAAGAATTTCTCCAAGGCTTTGATGGTTCTACGGGCAGCCAGGATGGTCATATTTAGGTGAGCTGACCAGCTAAGCCCATGCTGAAAAGTGATTCCCAAATACTTGAAAGCTGAGCAATATTCAATAGAGTGGCCCTCAAAGTTCCAGAATGACTTCCGAGTTTTCGTGCCAAAAGTAAGAATTTTGGTTTTGGCGAAGTTGATTTTGAGGGAATTGGTATCACAATATGTCATGAGCCCTCTGAGCATGTTGTTTAAGCCCTGCTTGGTTAAAGACAGTATCACCATGTCGTCCGCATAGAGTAATATGGGGATCTTGAGCTGTTGTAGAGAGGGGGCAGATTGATTTAGGGCCTGCATAGTTGTAACGATGTCGTTGATATAGAAATTGAATAGAAAAGGGGCCAAGAGGCAGCCCTGTTTGACCCCTTTATTCAGAGGGAAAGAATCAGAAAGAGCTCCCAGGGGGCCGAATTTTACTCTGGCCGATATGTCATTATGAATTTCCATAAGAAGAAGGAGGAGTCTCTTATCTATGTTGGTGTAACTGAGCTTCTGCCATAGCCTATCTCTGGGAATGGAGTCAAAAGCGGAGGTCAGGTCCACAAAAGCCGCGTGTAGTTTGCAGTTAAACCTGTTTAGGTATTTATCAATCAGGGTAAATAGAACAAGACATTGGCCAGATGTACTGTGACCTTTACGGAAACCAGCCTGTTCCGAGTGGAATAGCTTTGTTTCTTCTGCCCACTCGATTAATTTCTCTAGCAAGAATCTAGAGTAAACCTTGTATGATATGTCTAGCAGGCTGATGGGTCGATAGTTACGCGGATCTTGTGGGTCCCCCTTTTTATGTATTGGGATGACTATGCTCTGTTTCCAATTTGGCGGGATCTTAAGAGTGGCATTAATAGTGGTAAAGAGAGATGCAAAAATAGGGGCCCACCACATCTGGTTCAATAAGAATACCTCGGGTGGAATCATATCCTCCCCGGGATTTATCCCCTGATAACATGCTAATTAGTTGTACACATCTCTCTGGGGAGACTGGCTCCCAGGTGGGCAAGGCAGATGCAGGAAGAGTGGAAACTGCGTTTACGTCGGAATCTGGGGCGGAATACAGCTGAGCAAAGTGAGAGTGCCAACTGGCTGCTGTGATGTTATTAACGATGAATGAGGGGGGTCTTAAACCTGCATTAATTAAATTCCAGAATTTCTTGTCGTCACGGGTTTTAATGGCCACTGACAATGCCGTCCAGCGTTCTTTCGCAAAGATCAATTTCTTATGTTGGAGCAACTTCTTGTAGTAAGAACGGAATTGGGCTAACTCCCTGATTTTGCTCTGGGTGCTGTCTGATTTCATATCAGACTGAAGAAATCTAAGCCTACTTCTGCACTGTTTGCATTCTTGGTCGAACCAAGTTTGATTCTTCCAGGTTAGACTCGCACGGGAGGGTTTCGTAAGTGTTGGGAGCAAGTAGGCTAGAATTTGTTGGAAACTTGAGAAATGATTCACATTCATTGTTACCAGCTGAGCTTTCAGGGCTAGGATCTCAGGGGAATTTAGGAGGACTTTTATGTCTTGCTCCAGATAGATATCCCACTTCTTACGACCGGGGCTAAGGTCAGTGAATCCTGGAGGAGGAGTGAGCTGGGAAGCCCCAGCTGTGTGTGGTGGAAGGAGATGGCAATAGGAAGGTGGTCACTTTCGGTTCTGTTGAACACATTGAAACAATATGCCTTATCATTAAGTGCCGAGGAGGACCAGATATAATCTATAACGCTTGCCCCTCTAGATCCTAGAAAAGTATAGCATCCCCGGACCAGTCTTTGGGTGTACCATGCAAGCTGTGCAGCCCGCAGTTAATGGTAAACTCCAGCAGTATGATGCCAGCCCTATTAATGGTCTTGTCATGTGAATTCCACGTAGGAAACCACTCCTCTTCTATGAATAGTTGCGACTTATCGGTGAATGAGCTTATATCTGCTCCGATTCTGGCATTAAAGTCCCCCATTATGAGGATCTCTGACTTTGGGAATTCAGCCACAGATTTATCAAGGATAAATCTTAGATCCTCCCAAAACCGATTTGTATGGGAAGAGGAGTAGGTAGATGGATTGTACAAGTTAACACATATGAAGTCCCCAACCGGGCTGTTAGTGATGTGCAAAGTTTGAATACAATTACTCTCTAACCAAAGGAGAGGAGAGATATTAAGATGAAGCTCCTGCGAAACAAATGTTACCAGGCCTCCACTAGGGCGCCCATACAAATGTGTTTTGGTCGCAGGAATCACAAAGCATCATAGCCCAGTAGGGAAGGGGGGGGTGACGATTCTAAGCACCAGGTCTCTTGTATACCCATAATCTGGAATTTCGCTAAAAACTCTATCATATCCCCGCCATCCTGTTTGGACGTCCATCCCGCCACGTTCCAGGATAGCACATTGAAGCAGTTTGGGGAGGGACTATGTGCTAGTCAGATACTCTGGTTGCTGGTGGAAGAAGCATTGCCAAGGGTCTGAGACCGCGCCAGGCGTGATACAGCCGAAGGTATCGAAGGGGTGGTAATTTGATTGATGTGGCCAGCAGGGTCTTCAATAAAGCCTGAGCTGTCTCTTTGCACAGTGGCTTCCTTAACGTTTATATATTGGCTTGAAGAGGTTACGGATACAAGAGGTTCTACCAAACGAGGTTGACTGACAAAGGACGAGGATATACAGTCATCTGCCTGGACCGCACTGAATGAGGACTCCAGGTCAGGCATGGAAGAATAGGACATTGACAGATTACCTGGATGAATGGTGTTTGGCATATTGCTCTTTAAGGCGAGGGACGAGGTAGTTGATTGCAAATCTATTAGTAGAGGTGAAGAGGGTCTGCGTTGCGCCGGTGTATGAGGAGCTTCCGCCAGGCAGACTGCCATATCATCCGTTATTGGAGTCCCAGTGATTGGCAGGGGTTTCTGGGGTGTTAGCCCCTTCATGACTGCGTTCCTTTGATTTAATAGGTTGCTATGACCAGGTTTTGAGGAGATTTTCTCTTGAAGTACATGTGTAAGTTGCTGCTTGAGTGTATCAAGCCTGTTTATAACTTCCTGCTGTTCTACTAATGGCAACTCGCCATAGGATGAAATAAGGTCCCTCTCCTCTGAGGAAGCCAGATGACTGGGTCCGCTTTGGTCATGCTTCTCTGTTGCTGGAGTAGATAAACCAGGAAGCTTGGGCTGAGAGGGAGGGTGAGGTTCCTGGGTGGACAGCTTGAGTTTCAAGACTATGTCGCGCCTGTCTGGCGAGCGGATACCTTTTTGTACGATGCTACGGAAAAGAGGTTTAGTCCTGGTGTCATTAAAGACTCTCGTTGGGAAGATGCCCCAGGTGGCCAATAACGCTTTGCGCCTAACCAGTATGGAGGGGATTTTGGTGACTGGAAGGAGAGCAGTACTTTTGGAACCGATGGTGGTAGTATAAAAGTTTCACTGTACTGAGATCTATTAGCGGAGGCCTAATCTGAAGGAGTTGCCTTAGATGATCTTTGACCTCTCTCGGGTTAATCCACCTTGGGGACCTGGGGTCACTGCTGCGTATAGTTAGACATATTTTGTTTGGTTGTAAGATCAGAGATTGAAAGTCCAGTTGAGATTTTAGGAGATGAACACCAGTACCACTTTCATGTCTAACAGGGGAGGTACACCACTGTCTCTTTAAATCCCTCGGAGGCAGAGTGAGGTTGTGCTGCAGCTCCAGCAAATGGGCCTCAAGCTTTTGGTGGAGATTATTCACCTGCATGGAGATCCCATTTATGCTCTTAAAGATGCAGCGCAGGGTCCTGGTTATTAATTGGAAATGCTCGAATCCCAAACCATCGCCCAGGGCCAACTCGGACTCCCCCTTCGAGGTGACTCTCACTTCTTTGTCATTATCATTAGCATTTTTCGTTGCCTTCGAGTTCACCCCCTCCACTTCTATATCGGGTACGAGGTCAATTAAAGGATTAAAACGATTGTGAGTTTCAACCGTGTAGCTATCTTCCTTGTTATTTCTGCTACAGTTAAGAAAGAAAGAATCAATCTTAGACTGTTTGGGCCTCGGGGGAGGCATTGCCTCATCCAGGTCCCTTGGCCGCTTGCCATGGCCCATAGTGGAGATTAGAAGAAATATCCGCAATAATTGGAATTGTCTTAATGCACCTTAGAGAGTATTGCGGGAGGCGGAGGAGTGGTGAGCGAAGAAAAAAAAATAAGATAAAGTTCGTTGTTTACTTACTAAATTAAAACTAAGACTAAAAACTAAAAACTAAAAACTAAAGTTAAAAGTTAAAAGGTTTCTATACTCATTAAAATAATGTTAAAAGATAAATCAGGGAGCTCACACTCACGCTGACTAAGTGCCGTTCGCCATCTTGGAGCCTCCCCCGAAGAAGTGTCATCTGCCAAAAGTCAGTTTTTTCCTGAAATTGTGACCCCGGGGCTTAGGGAATTTTTCAAAAAAAAAATTTCTGCCGGTTAATCCTTGAGGGCTGATTACTTGTCCTGTGATAAAAAGCCTTCTGTTTCGACCGCCAAACCTTTCAGGGGAGCATTTGCAACCTTTTGGCACCATTTTTGAGTGATCTGCCAAAAGTCAGATTTTTTCTGAAATTGTGACCCTGGGGCTTAGGGATTTTTCCAAAAATAAATTTCTGCGGGTTAAGTCGTTGAGGGCTGATTTCTTGTCCTGTGATTAAAAGACTTCTGTTTCGACCGCCAAATCATTCAGAGGAACATTTGCAACCTTTTGGCACCATTTTTGAGTGAATTGCCAGAAGTCAGATTTTTTCTGAAATTGTGACTCCGGGGCTTAGGGATTTATTCAAAAAAATATTTTTCTGCCGGTTATGTTGTGGAGGGCTGATTTCTTGTCCTGTGATAATAAGCCTTCTGTTTGGACCGCCAAACCTTTCAGGGGAGCATTTGCAACCTTTAGGTAACATTTTTGAGTGAATTGCCAAAAGTCAGATTTTTGCTGAAATTGTGACCCCAGGGCTTAGAGATTTTTTCAAAAAAAAAAAATCTGCCTGTTAAGTTTTTGAGGGCTGATTTCTTGGCCTGTGATAAAAAGGCTTCTGTTTCGACCGCCAAACCTTTCAGCGGAGCATTTCCAATCTTTTGGCACCATTTTTGAGTGATCTGCCAAAAGTCAGATTTTTTCTGAAATTGTGACCCCGGGGCTTAGGCATTTTTTCAAAAAAATCTTTTTCTGCCGGTTAAGTTGTGGGGGGCTGATTTCTTGTCCTGTGATAATAAGCCTTCTGTTTCGACCGCTAAACCTTTCAGGGGAGCATTTGCAACCGTTTGCGACCATTTTTGAGTGATCTGCCAAAAGTCAGATTTTCCCTGAAATTGTGACCCCGGGGCTTAGGGAATTTTTCAAAAAAAAAATTTCTGCCGGTTAAGACCTTGAGGGCTGATTTCTTGTCCTGTGATAATAAGCCTTCTGTTTCGACCGCCAAACCTTTCAGGGGACCATTTGCAACCTTTTGGCACCATTGTTGAGTGATCTGCCCAAAGTCAGATTTTACCTGAAATTGTGACCCCGGGGCTTAAGGAATTTTTCAAAAAAAAATTTCTGCCGGTTAAGTTGTTGAGGGCTGATTTCTTGTCCTGTCATAAAAAGACTTCTGTTTCGACCGCCAAACCTTTCAGGGGAGCATTTCCAACCTTTTGGCACCATTTTTGAGTGATCTGCCCAAAGTCAGATTTTTTCTGAAATGGTGACCCCGGGGCTTAGGGATTTCTTTAAAAAAATCTTTTTCTGCCGGTTAAGTTGTGGGGGGCTGATTTCTTGTCCTGTGATAATAAGCCTTTTGTTTCGACCGCCAAAACTTTCAGGGGAGCATTTGCAACCTTTTGGCACCATTTTTGATTGATCTGCCAAAAGTCAGATTTTTTCTGAAATTGTGACCCCGGGGATTAGGGAT